TGTCTTTGTGTGTTTGTGTTTAAATGAAACGACCCTGTGACAGATGCAGCCACAGCTCTGAGTGTGATGGATGTTCAGACAAACAAACATTAATACACTTCACAACCACAAACAGAACTAAACCAGGACTAAACCAGAACTAAACCAGGACTAAACCAGGACTGAACCAGGACTGAACCAGGACTGAACCAGGACTGAACCAGGACTGAACCAGGACTAAAACACAAATTGGACTTGGACTGTAACCACAACTAATAAACCAGGTCAAAACTGGGGCTAAACCAGAAATACCTAGTCTTCTCACCCAAACTAGAACTAAACTGGGTCTAACTTGGGTCTAAACGAGTCCAGAACTGAACTGGGATTTAAAAAAAGACCAAACCAGGTCCAAACCAGGTCCAAACCAGGTCTAAACCAGGTCTAAACCAGGTCATTTTCCAGTCTTTAGTCTCCTTTTGTTGTGAATGCGGTAAAACATAAAATCCCATTGACTGTATGTATCTGCCCACGGTCCAGTGCTCATGTCTCTGCACTGCAGTCACCCCAGAGCCGCGGCAGAACAGCGCCATCTACTGACGCACTGTGGGCTTTACACGACGGTCACAGTCTGGAAGATCTGATCAGTGCAGTTTCACTTGTGTTTGTCCAGTGGGTTTGGAGATAAACACATCAGATTATAATCATTACACACACATTACACACATTATTATAATCGACTTTTTCTAAAGATCAGGGTCACATGTTTTGGTTATAAACAAAAAAACGACCCCAAAGTACTCCACATGTTCAAGAATCCTGGACACAAGCAGCAAAAATATAAAATAATTCAGCTTGTGTTTAAATTTCATAAACAGTAGTGTTGTATTCAGTTCTTCACCTGCTCAAATCAAATATATTTTTACTGATAACAACTGATGCTGATTTATTCTTAAAGGGAGCAGAGAATCAAGTCATATCTTCTGTTCTCTGCTCTGGACTAATTCTGACATGTAAACGTGGACTCTTCACAATCATGTACGATGTTATGTGAAATATAAAGTGTAAACTCGTCACCTCTCTGCTCAGCGCCGACCAGAGCCTGTGGGTGAGGGAGACTGTACAGCGACACCAAGCCCAGAGACGAGGCCACGGCCAACAGCCCGAGCCTGGGCACCAGCGGAGCCTGAAGGACACACACAGGAGCACTACTATGTGACAGGAACAGTAGTAGCAGTAGCAGTAGTAGTAATAGTAATAGTAATAGTAGTAGTAATAGTAATAGTAATAGCAGTAGCAGTAGTTCTAGTATGAGTAGTACATAATGATTGTTCACCTGTCTGTCCGTGTGCGGAGGCTCCCAGGCTCCGGCCGGGCACCACTTCAGCCCCCAGACGAAGCCTCTGTCCTGGGCCAGACTGTAGAGCAGAGCAGGAGGAGAGTCTGGTCTGTGGAAGGGCGAGACGTCAGAGAGATTCAAATACTACAGGGACAAGAGGCTTATACTTTAGAGCAGGGGTCTCAAACTCAAAATACCTGGGGGCCACATTAGAGAAAGTCTGAGTGAGGCTGGGCCGCATTGAGTATTCGATAAATAGCGGTTGCACGGGAATAAAAGAGAGAGAAAGAACAACATGCAACACACTTTCTTAATCTTTAATAACAGTTCAGAATATGAAAATGCATTCAGATCGTAAGTTTAAACTAATACGTCTACTCTTCTTCTTTTGCCTACTCCTTGGTGGTTGAAACCTGGCTACGCTTCATCTTGCACAGCTGAGAGATATTTGACTTGCAGGCGGAAGCATATGAGATCCTCAGGATAGATTGAAGATGCTCATCAGTGACCCTTGACCTGTATTAGGTGCTTTCACACCAACAGTATTTGGTGGCACCAAACGGTCCATTCGAACCAGAAGTGGTTAGCTCGGTTCGTTTGCCTTGGTGTGAAAGCGTCAATCGGACTCTGACCCGGACCAACTCAAGCGGATCGAGACCTCAAAAAAGAGGTGGTCTTGTTTCGCTTGAATCCGCACCTCTGGTGTGAACGCCAACCCGAGTCCAAACCATAGACAGCAGGTCCAAACGAACTATTCGAAATGCATCATGGGAGAAACGCGTCTCCTGCCTGTAATGACGCGCTGTACGACTCCGGCGCAGTAACAGATTGTTGTCCAGACGCAGCCGCGATTCATTTTCGAATTATTTTACCAACAATGGCCAATAAAGAGAATGTAACACACGAAGATCAGAGCAAGTCAAAAATGGGGGTGTGTATTTCTTTTCAGGACTTGCACAGAGGTCCCGGTGTTCCCCGTGATCATGTAGGAACCAGCATTTGTTATTTTCGGCTTTAATTAACCAAATAATTTTATGGCAATAAGCAATCGCCCATTCAATTGATTCACCTTTAAAAAATGTCCTGCTTTTAGCCTAGTGTCAGAAATACAGTCGGACTAGATCCAAACCCGAGTCCCGAACCAGCAGGAGCAGCTCCGGTTCTGTCCGGGCTCAGATGACGTGGAGCGGGGAGTGAAAAGCGCTTTCCCCGGGAAGAACCAAATGCGCGGAGGACGGACACCAACTAAACTGGACTCACGCTTCTGTCCGGATGCTTTTGCACCACCTCGGAACCAGCCGCGGTTCTTGAGCGCGGAGGACAGGAGCAGCAGCGCATTCTCACTTTCCCCGCATGGGACCAGCACGCAGACGGCGGAACGTACCCGCTCAGACCCAGTCATTGCGCACTGGTCTTTCTCGCCACCGTCTGGAACCAGCACATGGAGGACAGAGCCTCCGGACCATCTGACCAACGCGCTTGTAGGACGACAGAAGACCAAGGACCAGACCCCAGCGCCGTCCTGAGAAGCTGCGCGCTACTGTGAACGCTGTTGGCTTCTGCTGTTACCCGAACTCTGGGCTGATGCGGTGAGTTTGTAGAAAGTTCTACATGCTGTTTTATGAGTTCATGGTGATAAGATGAGGACGCCCGCGGTATTAACAGGGAACATCAGTATTGGTTACTGGAGATATCACTGTTCTACCGGGATACAGAGGCTCGTTAATCGGACCAGTTTTGGTTCGTTTGCCGGTGTGAAAGCGCCACACTGGAGTGTATCTGCTTCTCGTATGTCAAACATGGATGGAAGACGCTTGTTTTTGCCTCGTACTTTTTGCTGACATGTCGCCAAGCCTCTGGGATAGATCAGTGCAGTTTTGTGGTGCTTGCATATTGATGGGACAGCTGTGTTTGCCGCTGAGTGCGCGTGGATTTCGGCGACACATACGTGGAGTTTGGTCATCGGGTTGCCAGCAAGTTACGCACTGAGTATTGAGCAGGTAAACAGACTGTCAATGTTTTTTATTTCTTATTAACCCCTCCAATAAAGGTCCCATACTTATGAACAGGGGAATTCTGTCAGCGCCTCCTCTGCTCTGTGCTCTGATACTGTGGTTGTGGGAGCGTAAAGTGAAGTGCACACGTGTACCACCATGTGTGGTTTGTTTTGGTTTTTCGGTGACGCAGTATGTGCACGTGTACTTGTATTAACAGATCCACTTAGACTCGTTGCTTCACAACTGCTGTAAGTTGAATTTTGGGATGTAAACTGCGTTAATAATCTGTTGTGAATCTGCATGGGCACCGATTGCAGCTTCATCTGTCAGTGCGGCCCGCGGTAGAGGGGTGGGATTGTGCGTACATCTACCGCGGGCCGCACTGTCATTATTCTTTGGAATTAAGTGGCGGGCCGCAAAAAATCCTTCCGAGGGCCGCAGTTGGCCCCCGGGCCGCGAGTCTGAGACCCCTGCTTTAGAGACTACGCATTAGGCCTTTTACAGGAAAAGTGCAAAATACACTTTTAAATCTGGACTATCAGACCACAAAAGTAAAAAGTATAAATCTACAGCAACGAACCATAAAGAAGCAAAATAAATCAACACTGGAGTCGGTTTAGATCAATATTGTGATTTTATGCCCAAAATACAAAATAATGATCCATATTTGCCACAGTTTTGGCCTGTCGCTGTTTAACTTAAACAAATGTAAATATGAATGTACAACATAAATACAGCGTAAAACTAAATGTGTGTAATTTGAATAAAGAAGCGTCAAAGCGTCCAGAAAAACAGTTTAGCACAAACAGAACCTTTAACTTCATAAAAGACCACGTCAACCCCTGCTCCCTTTAACGGTTTTTCTTACCTCTGGTCGGACTTGAGGCTCCCCAGGCCCCAGATCTGGACCAGGCCTGAGCCTGAGTAGAGCCGGCTGACCTGGTGCTGTTCGTCCATGGTCCTGTGACAGGACACGGCCAGGTACTGATCCGCCGTGCAGTGATCCGGAGTGGGACACCACTCCAAGGACCAGACCGGACCTCCGCAGAAGAACACAGAGTCCCAGCGCTCGGAGTGAGAGGGCAGTGAGGAAAACCTGAGGAGGAACAGCTGATGTCATTAATATTCTATTTATCCTGTTTATTTGAACTCCTCCAGCCCCATGTCCCACCCCGAGCTCAGCGTTCTGCAGACCAGCACCTCCTGGTTTTCCCCAGGACCAGGCTAAGGCCCAGAGGAGACAGGACCTTCTCTGGAGAGACAGGACCTTCTCTGGAGAGACAGGACCTTCTCTGGAGAGACAGGACCTTCTCTGTGGAGACAGGACCTTCTCTGTGGAGACAGGACCTTCTCTGTGGAGACAGGACCTTCTCTGTGGAGACAGGACCTTCTCTGTGGAGACAGGACCTTCTCTGTGGAGACAGGACCTTCTCTGGAGAGACAGGACCTTCTCTGTGGAGACAGGACCTTCTCTGTGGAGACAGGACCTTCTCTGGAGAGACAGGACCTTCTCTGGAGAGACAGGACCTTCTCTGGAGACAGGACCTTCTCTGGGAGACAGGACCTCTCTGTGGAGACAGGACCTCTGTGGAGACAGGACCTTCTCTGTGGAGACAGGACCTTCTCTGGAGACAGGACCTGGAGACAGACCTTCTGGTGGAGACAGGACCTTTCTGTGGAGACAGGACCTTCTCTGGAGACAGGACCTTCTCTGGAGACAGGACCTTTCTGTGGAGACAGGACCTTTCTGTGGAGACAGACCTTCTCTGGAGAGACAGGACCTTCTCTGTGGAGACAGGACCTTCTCTGGGAGACAGGACCTTCTCTGTGGAGACAGGACCTTCTCTGTGGAGACAGGACCTTCTCTGTGGAGACAGGACCTTCTCTGTGGAGACAGGACCTTCTCTGGAGAGACAGAGGCATCTCGGAATAGCAGCATGGAACCCCTTTAGAGTCCGTCTCACCTGTGCAGTCTCTGTGGCTCCTCTTTCTTCAGCCCCTCCCTGAACACCGAGAACAGAACCGACTGCTGCTCCTCAGGGAGGTAACTCTCCGCCTCACTACAGACATTTGAATGATTCTGTTTAAATCATGATTCTGTTTATGTCCTGACATTACATCATAGTTTTAGTTTAAAGGAGCACCTCGGGGGAAGCAGCCGCCAGTCTGTGGAGGAGGGAACCCAGTCTGGAAACACCCAGGAGCTGTGAAAATCCTGACGACTGAAACAGAAAAAGTAATAAATCAATAAATCAAACAAACTGAAACAGGGCTGAATAAAGAAAGTGTTAGATTCCTTTAGAATTACATTACAAATAAAAAAGTCTTAAAAGAGCCTGTACCTGATTTTTTTCCATGTGTTTTTACTCAAATACATGGAGCCCCCCCCTCCCCTTGTTCTCTGTGCTAAGTCTCTCCCCCTTCAGAGCACTATCACAACACACAGGCCACATTTACATGATGTTTTTTAATTCCGAATTAACTATTCTGAATTAAATAGTTCTGAATTCTAATATTCTCCTTGGAGTTTACATGGAAATAATTCTGAATTGTTGTTTTTGTGTTAAACTGGTGAAAGGTTTTTTATTTAATGTCTCTGAGCGTCTCGGGGGGGGGTCTGTTTGGACAAAGACACCAACAGATTTAGGTCTTTGGGAAGAAAACACACACTTCAGCTGCTCCCGGCTTTTCTGTCATCTGGGTTTGTCACAAACATCATCCAAACTTTTTCCTGCAGTGGTTCTGATGATAATTGTCTCATCACACTTTCCGTCTGTGAGCTGAGGAGGAGAAGGGAAGAAGACAAAAGCTCAGCCCACTCCCGCATCCCTCTCACAAATCCAAAGAGACGTGGATCAAAGTCCCAAGACAGGACTGGACCAGGACCAGGACCAGGACCAGATCGAAGGACGACACGACGAGCATGAAGCACCAGCAGCATTTTAACAACAACAAACCACAAACAGGATCCAGGAAACAAACTCACATTTATCATCACAACAAAACAAACTCTTACTTCACTATTTCGATTAATTTTGAATAATCATTTTCATTTTAAATTAATTGTTTACATGAACTTTTTAAAGAGGAGTTCAGTTTGATTCTGAATTAAATTATTTTTATTCGGAATTAAAGCTCTCATGGAAATGTGGACCCCCTAACCCCTAACCCTGCACATCACGTCAGGTTTGTCCAGTTGCTGTGTTCAGTTTTCTGTCATTGTGTGTTTTTGTGTATTTATGGAGGATTGTCATGTGCGGGTTTGGGTGACGTAGTTCAAATAAGGTCTGGAAGAGATCACTAGATTAGTCAAACATGCATGAATGACTTTAAAAGGTTTTTGATGAGGATCCATGTTAGAACATGAGAGAATAAATAAAACAAATAAATAAATATATTTAGCATAATACTTCCTCGTTAAAATAAACATACAACTTCTTGGTGGTCTGAGTGGAGACGGTGATGGAGTTGAGAGTCACGTGGGGAAGTCCATTCACTCTCTGACCGTACTGAAACAAACACAACCAACATTAGACTGATCCGTAAAATATGAAATACACCACCAAGGTTCAACGTAGGAGGATCTACGGTTCAGCTTTTACTGATTATGTCGAGAGAAGGAAGTTTTAATTAATTAATCATTTCAAGATACCAAAGAGTTTTACAGTTCATTCACTCCACACTTGGTGGTGGTAAGCTACTATTGTAGCCACAGCTGCCCTGGGGCAGACTGACAGAAGTGAAGCTGCCAATCTGCGCCATCGGCCCCTTCGACTCTACAAAGCCACATGAACACAAGAGGAGAGAAGTTAAACATGCCCAGGGTCGTGATGCTGTGGACTTCTCCCTCTCCTCAGGCATCTCCAGCTCCTCCTCCTCGTCCTCCTCCTCCTGATCTTCCTCTGCATCCTCCTCCTCTGCATCTTCAGCGTTTGGCACAAAGTCCTCGTCTTCCTCTGCATCGCTGCTGAACACACTCTTCCTCTTATGGCCACGACCTAAGAACCACAGGTCAAAGGTCAAGAGCTGTCAAAAGTATTGAAAATCAGACACTAATCGATACTAAACTGGTATTAAAACTAGTTCCTATTATTTATTAACGATATTGTTATTGATGCTGAAATGAACCTTTCCTGAATGTCTTTAGAACGATCTGGAGCTGGATCAGAACAAGTATAAGAGCACACAGACTAATATACACCCATGGACCACTGAGGAACCTGCATGGACCACTGAGGAACCTGCATGGACCACTGAGGAACCTGCATGGACCACTGAGGAACATACCTGGACTGTGGGATCAACACTTATTCAGAATCAAGTCTAGGGCTGTACCAATAATCAGAAGATCAAAGATTGTGATCTGTATTTTGTTGAGTCTCAGTGATTAGACGAGTGCATTTTAATGGACAGGTCTCCAGCCAATCAGGCGGCAGTGAGAGCGCGAGCAGCTGACGAGGATTTACACTTTTGTTTATGGAAAAACACCTGAGCTACAGCGTCTCCTCACGTCTCCTCACGTCTCCTCAAGTCTCCTCAAGTCTCTTCACGTTTCCTCACGTCTCCTCACGTCTCTCACGTCTCCTCACGTCTCCTCAAGTCTCCTCAAGTCTCTTCACGTTTCCTCACGTCTCCTCACGTCTCCTCACGTCTCCTCACGTCTCCTCACGTCTCCTCAGTCTCCTCAGTCTCTCACGTCTCACGTCTCCTCACGTCTCCAAGTCTCCTCAAGTCTCCTCAAGTCTCTTCACGTCTCCTCACGTCTCCTCACGTCTCCTCACGTCTCCTCACGTCTCCTCACGTCTCTTCACGTCTCCTCACGTCTCCTCACGTCTCCTCAAGTCTCTTCACGTCTCCTCAAGTCTCCTCAAGTCTCTTCACGTCTCCTCACGTCTCCTCAAGTCTCTTCACGTCTCCTCAAGTCTCTTCACGTCTCCTCACGTCTCCTCACGTCTCCTCACGTCTCCTCACGTCTCCTCAGTCTCTTCACGTCTCTCACGTCTCTCACGTCTCTTCACGTCTCCTCACGTCTCCTCACGTCTCCTCACGTCTCCTTCCGTCTCTTCACGTCTCTCACGTTCTCACGTCTCCTCACGTCTCTCACGTCTCTCACGTCTCTTCACGTCTCTCACGTCTCACGTCTCCTCAAGTCTCCTCAAGTCTCCTCACGTCTCTTCACGTCTCACGTCTCTTCACGTCTCCTCACGTCTCTCACGTCTCTCAAGTCTCTTCACGTCTCTTCACGTCTCCTCACGTCTCTTCACGTCTCCTCAAGTCTCTTCACGTCTCTCCTCACGTCTCCTCACGTCTCCTCAAGTCTCTCACGTCTCTTCACGTCTCCGTCTCTCAAGTCTCTTCACGTCTCTTCACGTCTCCTCACGTCTCCTCACGTCTCCTCACGTCTCCTCTCCGTCTTCCTCACGTCTCCTCACGTCTCCTCACGTCTCCTCACGTCTCCTCACGTCTCCTCACGTCTCCTCACGTCTCCTCACGTCTCCTCAAGTCTCCTCACGTCTCCTCACGTCTCTTCACGTCTCTCCTCACGTCTCTCACGTCTCCTCACGTTTCTTCACGTCTCCTCAAGTCTCCTCACGTCTCTCACGTCTCACGTCTCCTCACGTCTCCTCACGTCTCCTCACGTCTCCTCACGTCTCCTCACGTCTCTTCACGTCTCCTCACGTTCTCTTCACGTCTCCTCACGTCTCCTCTCACGTTCTCCTCACGTCTCCTTCACGTCTCCTCACGTCTCCTCACGTCTCTTCACGTCTCCTCACGTCTCCTCACGTCTCCTCACGTCTCCTCAAGTCTCCTCAAGTCTCTTCACGTCTCCTCACGTCTCCTCACGTCTCCTCACGTCTCCTCACGTCTCCTCACGTCTCCTCACGTCTCTTCACGTCTCTTCACGTCTCCTCACGTCTCCTCACGTCTCCTCACGTCTCCTCACGTCTCCTCACGTCTCTCACGTCTCCTCACGTCTCCTCACGTCTCCTCTTCACGTCTCTTCACGTCTCCTCACGTCTCCTCACGTCTCTTCACGTCTCCTCACGTCTCCTCACGTCTCCTCACGTCTCCTCACGTCTCTTCACGTCTCTTCACGTCTCCTCACGTCTCCTCACGTCTCCTCACGTCTCCTCACGTCTCTTCACGTCTCCTCACGTCTCCTCACGTCTCCTCACGTCTTCCTCACGTCTCTTCACGTCTCTCTCACGTCTCCTCACGTCTCCTCACGTCTCTTCACGTCTCTTCACGTCTCCTCACGTCTCCTCACGTCTCCTCACGTCTCCTCACGTCTCCTCACGTCTCCTCACGTCTCTTCACGTCTCTTCACGTCTCCTCACGTTTCTTCACGTCTCCTTCTCAAGTCTCTCACGTCTCTCACGTCTCCTCACGTCTCTTCACGTCTCCTCACGTCTCTCACGTCTCTCTCACGTCTCCTCACGTCTCCTCAACGTCTCCTTCACGTCTCTTCACGTCTCCTCACGTCTCCTCAACGTCTCTTCACGTCTCCTCACGTCTCCTCACGTCTCTTCACGTCTCCTCACGTCTCCTCACGTCTCCTCACGTCTCCATGAAATTAAGTTTGGACTTAAATCTGCACAATTTGACCAAAAGTGTCTCTCTCCCTCTGTGTGTGTCAGTGTGTGTGTGTGTGTCAGTGTGTGTGTCAGTGTGTGTGTGTGTGTGTGTG